AAATCAGATCGGCGAAAAGTCTTACAGGAGGCCCGCGAGGCTGTTTTGAGTTTTATTTTAAGCAAAAAAAAATAAAAATCATCAGGGGGATTCCCTAAACTGTTGAATTGCTGAATTGTTGAATTTTGGTCAGCTGTTAATCAGCTGTTCCATACAAGGTCAACTTTCAGAAATTTCAGCAATTCAACAGCCTCGGGGCTGATGAAAATTTTGTTGAATTGCTGAAAAGCCAGAGTTGTCACCTTTTTTCAAAAATCGTGGCAACTCTGTAACATTTTAGTATCACCAGTACGCATTATTTATTTTAAAATTAACTTAGAAAGCATATTTGTGGTTCTTTTTACCTTAATAACACTTTTAGACAGTAACTAGCAATAATAGATCAAATTTTACATGCTTTAAGTTCCGTGAAACTTTTCAACAAATAACAGCTGTTTGAAAATTCAATAGGAACCATTTTGGGTCGTTCCCTTAATTGCTGAAATTTTTGGTTGAATTTTCAACAATTCAGCAATTCAACAGTTTTGGGAATCCCCCTATCAATAATCATTATTTTTGAGTCCTATTTTTTTTGCTCAAAAATAATTATTATGCTCTATGTAATATATATAAATTTAATTTTAATCATTACAAAGTAATTTTTATTATTTAACATATAATGATTACGGTCCCTGTTATTTTTTCTAATAAAACTTATAACTGTTACGGTCTCTGATTTTTTCACTAAATGAAAACGCTTACTTTTTTGAACACGTCTAATTTTTTTGAGAATTTCATTTACATATTAGTTGAGTATACGCGTCCTCTTTCAACTATCGCAAAAGTGAAGTTCTTCGCGGTGACCACTCTCATTTCATCTGTAATCATCAAAGTGACAAAATGAAAAAGAATAATAAAATTTAGACTATTATCTACTTTTTGTCGTAAGGGTTTTTCGAAATAATTTTTGACAAATTGGCGACTAAACTTAGAGTAGCAATTTTTAGACCAAAAATCGTTCTTATTATGTCGATAAAACATAATCTAAAATCCCCAACGACAAAAAGTAGATAATCTTCAAATATAATAGACATAACCAAATTCAAGTTGATCGGTACAGTGATTTTCGAGTTATCGTGGTAACCGATTTGGGAAACATGGTTTCGAGAAAAAAGCGATAGAAAGTTGAGCACTAGGTTTATATCGAAATTTGTGCACTGTATCATCAATTGTTTAATTTTGCTCCAAACTTTCACTAGACATTCCTAACTTAGGAATCCTAAGTTAGACATCAAGCGTCATAAAAAAAAAAACACATAAATAAAAAAATGGATTTTTTTTACCATTCTAGGTGTATATTCCCCCATAATTATTTTCACTGAAATCTGCATCGGCATTCCTAAAATTGTCAACTGTGCCCATGTCTTTAGAATTCGAAGCCAAAGTTGAAAATCCCAAAGTTTTCACAAATTCGAAAAATTTTTTTTAATTAAAACTTTAATGGAACTCATTTTTTTTTATTCCTGGAATCTACTGTCCACTGCATGCTTTAATTTCGACTTAAAGCGTTTTCATTAAGATATTTGATTGGATTTATTATACAAACAAGAGAAAACGCTATAGTCGGGTTGGTGTCCCGACTATCTAATACCCGTCACTCAGCTAAAGGGAGTGCAAACGCTGTACTCGGGTTGGTGTCCCGACTAATAATCGTAACTCAGCTTAAGGGAATGCGAGGGAGATAGATATATATTGACAATTTTGAAAGCGTATAACTTTTTAATGAATGGTCCGATTTGTAAATGTATTCTACATTTCGATAGGTATAAATATACACAATTAATAATCGTAACTCAGCTTAAGGGAATGCGAGGGAAATAGATATATATTGACAATTTTGAAAGCGTATAACTTTTTAATGAATGGTCCGATTTGTAAATGTATTCTACATTTTGATAGGTATAAATATACACAACAAAATTGCATTTATACTTTTTGAAAATCTTTAAAGATGTGGGCGCAGGACCCATTTTAAAATCGTTAGTGGGCGATTGTGGGCGTTAGGGGGGCATGGCGCTCGGCTGCGTAGGAAGCCAAAGAATATGTGTGGAAAATCTCAACCTTCTAGCTTTTGTAGTTTCTGAGATATCAGCGTTCATACAGACGGACAGACGGACAAGGCTAGATCGACTCGGCTAGTGACCCTGATCAAGAATATATATACTTTATGGGGTCGGAAACGCTTCCTTCTAGCTGTTACATACTTTTGCACGAATACAATATACCCTTTTACTCTACGAGTAACGGGTATAAAAAACCGTGTGACGACCCATCGTCACAACAACTAAATACGCATCACTAGAATCGTGACCCGATAACTATTTATCGAAAACGGGATTATCGTCATCGTTCGCTCTGGGCACACTAAACGGCGGTTATATAAGTTGAGGCAAAGCCTAACCTAATGCCCTCTGCTCATTATGGACGCGTCGCGTTTGCATCCATTTACCGTTTAACGCGCCCAAATCCCATACAAAACTTGTAGGCGAGGGGAGGGTGGAAATTTGTCGCGTTACAGGGCTGGAAAGTGAAATTTGTGGTATATTTAAGCAGTATTAACCAGGCATGAACATTTTTCTGGACCCGAAACTGATAAGAGGCTGATAAGAAGCGGGAAATATTAAAACCATTTATTGTTGATATTTACATGAACATTATTTCGTATAGATTGGTATTTGATATATGATATATGCCAAATGATCTGGCAATAGTTCAGAATTCCGAGGATGATCCAAGCGCATAAAGAGCAGTAGCAGTTCGTTTATCCAATGGAATGGCTCGGCTAGAAAGGATCGGAAGCGAAATATTGGTCGTTGCAGCGCAGCCACATGGGCTTTCCCGTCTCCATGATCTTGACGTTTGCTTCGCGTGCGCCATTCGTCCATTAAGGCGACCTCCTGGTTAGACCGTAGATGGCCATTCCATATTTAAATGACACACGTTGACAGGCGACTGCTGGAAAAGGGCACATCTCCCTCTTTCTTGCGCACAATGTTCTTGTAGGATTTCTGCCCCGTATCAGATTCTGTTCAGTGACGTGCCGGCGCAGAAGCTACTGCTGTCGCGGGTCGTGTCAAAGAATTAATTAAATGACTGTTCAGATCTATATATATGAACGCCTTCTGCAGCAGATCCTTTTGCTTTCTGCCGTCATAAATGCTCAAGCAGCGTAACGTGGGATGTTGTTGCTTTCATCATTGCAGCAATGTTTCCACGTTCAAATGCTGTTCTGCGATTACAATTATCAATAACAAATTATTTAAATCCATTGTTTACTTCAGCTCGCAAATGACAATAGCACAACAGCTGTTTTCAGACGCGTTTGCCAATGGAAACACCTCACGTCCGCCTATCGCGTTGCCAATCGAAAATACACAAAAATACCGAAAAAACCGCATACTGGAAAAATGCCTTTAGATCAGGGACTAGCGTTCCCACGATCATCGAGAAAACATCAGCGAGGAGGAAGATCCGGGTAGTGGTGCGGTATCCATAAGAGCTCGGTTTTAAATCGGCTCTGCGACCTGGTGAGGATCACTGGTCCCGGTTTGGTTTCCTAGAAATCAGCCCAAATCCAGTCGTGATCACTGAGGCGGCCCGGTTTTACGTAACTCAGGCCCACCTCAGTTCGGTTTTTAGGCGTGTATTTTTAACGAAAAAATATTTTTTAAATTTAAAATTAAGTATTTTTTTAGGGGAATTTAAAAAAATTCTGGACGCCGGAATACACGCGATTTATCCTTATGTTGCCATTCTAAGTATAAGGTTTAAAAGATAAAGAGTGTATCTTTTAAAAACTTTAACTTCGAATCAAACAACACGGTCAAAATAGTAGTGTTGCCGCCCTGTGTTTTCAAAAATTACTTGAAATTTTGCTTTTCTCTTTGTTTCTTCCTTTAAAAAAATCCCAAAATTATTCTAATTATGTGTAGAATTATCGCCCCTTTTTCTTTGCGATAAGCATGTTAATCGTTAGACTTTAATCGGCTACAACGGTAACATTTTTTTAAAATTGTTTTAAAAAATAAAACCATTTTAGTATTACAAAAAATGGTGGTGTTTTAATTTATTTAATTTATTTTAATTTTTCACTGTTCCCAAGCTCTATTTTGTGTAAAAATCTTGATTTTGTACCACTTTTAGTTCTTAAGATATCGTTAAAAAACTGCCATATTCGCTCGGGACAAAAATAGAAGTGATTTTCGGGGATGTTCATTTAACACTAGAATTAAGCGAATTCTGATGGAATATTTGAATGCGATTTTTTTAGAATGTTGTCCAAATATGTCGCTGGGAAATGGTTTTGGTTTTACTCAAAAATGGTTTTCCGTTTTTTTTTATGCAGTTTCAACCACATTCGCCCGGAACATGTCGCTCGGGACATTTTTTCTTAGCGTTTTGTGAAGTGTATTTCTTTACCTCTATCCCTCAATTGCTGGCTGTTTGGCTTTTAACTTAATAGTTTAACATTTAAATTAAGCATTTAGTACAGAAAAATGACACATATTAGCATTCCTAAATGATAAATTCACAACTGAAGACGGGCCAAAAAAATAACAAAAAAATATCCAAAAACTGATTTTTGCGTATATTGGTGGGGTTTGTCATAAAAATAATCAAACTATACTCCAAATTTGTAGTTAAGCTCAGTATCCAACTAATTAGAAACTAATATCGGGGCAAAATCATGTGGAAATATGTTTTTTTTCAAGCTTCAAGGTTTTTGGCTTGGTGGACCTTTTGGTGGAAGTGCCCATATGTACTTTGTTTATGCTATTAATGCATTCAAAAATGCATGAAATTAAGCAAATAAAGAATTTTTAGGTGGGTGGCCAGAGTTCAAGCTTTGTCGCCCTCCCTCGCACTTAATATTGGCTATTTTTAATACTTCGAACAAAATTGATAATAAAATTCCATCCATCCAATTCCATCTTTATACAAAAAATAATTCTTTTTTACAGTCTCTAGAGGCAAAGAAGATGGCTGATATTTCGAATAAGCTGGCAAAAGTTGAAGAGGCAACTCGCAAAAAGGATGAGATCACTAATGAGTTCATTACTCAGACAAAGGAGCAGCTGGAGTCGAAAATGGAGCTTCATGTGGAGAAGCGAGAGGCCATCATCAGTGACATGAAGGAAAAACTAAAGGTTAAATGTGGCATGCTAATCCCTTAATAATATTATAGTACAACTTTTTGATTACACTGATTGACAGATTCATGCGCAAGAGATCGAAAAGACGCGTGAAACTCTTGAGCAGCAGAAGGCGAACGAGCAGAAGGCAATCGAAGAAAAATTGAAAATTGCCCAGTCCTTGCGCGACGAAAATATTAAGAAAATGTTGGATCGCCTAAAGGAGCATGTGAGTCTGCTATTTTTCTTTGTTGACCATGAGTTTGACTATGAAATTGTTTAAGCTCATTAAATCGGAAAGCCTACAAAATTTAAATCTCCACGAAATATTTATTTCGTTCATAAATTTTTTTTTTTATTTTTCGTAAGAAATTTTCATTGAAGATAAAACCTATTAGGCCTTAAGGGGGAATATACACCAAGGAGCGCAGAAAAAAGCTATTCGACTATTCTAGAAGCGCCGACCACTACGAGTTTGTCGTCCTATTTGCTCTTCTGGTTTTCCTACATAAATTTGAATGTATTGATGCCTATTTCTTTGATTTAGATTTAGATTATTATCGCGCTGTCAACGACATCATACGTATTTTTGTATCGCTCCGCCGAATGATTACAAAATATAGTGAAAATAACCGAATTTAATTCGCGAAAAGACGCTCTGGGTAGGCATGGGTACAAGTGCTCGTGTTGCCCATGAAAATTTTAGATTAGTGTGATAAATTACTAATATAATCTATAAATTACACAGGCCAACAAAATGGACTTTATTAAAAGGTGCAGGCCTATTGGCATAAAAACATGTTAATATAGACGTATATAAGCATATCTGCATACTTTGTTTTCGCGTAAGAACTTAAAAAGTAACAACTATTTTTAAATCTCATTTTACATAAATATCTGACACATTCGTAAAAATTTACCTTTCAATTTGGTTAGCAGTAGGCGCCGAACATAGACAAATTATATTTTTAAGGGGTTAATATGCCTTAAAAAAATCCCCACCACAATTTTAAGGCGACGCCACTGTTATCTTTAAAAATCCTACTGTGTAAAATCACGACAAACTCGTTACGTAAGAGTGACTCTAAAATACTTGTTACTTTTCCCATTCTTACGGAAAAAATTCTATAAATTCCATTTTTCGAAGTACAATAGTGGGATTTATCTAAAAAATTCGGGAAAAGACGCCTCTAGATGCATGTAAAATATTTTAGGGCACATATTTTTCCTTGTATTTTTTTAAGCCTGTTCACCGCATTAAGTTGGTTGTAAATAGAGGTGAACAAATTACTTCAATGGCTCATAGGCTTTTATTAACTCAAATAATGATGGAACCTTAAATGCAATTATGTAGAAGGGCATCTAAGCAATTTTTTGGCATAGGTTTTATTACAACTGAGCACAGACCCTCGAAGATATCTTAAATGAAAATATAAAATGTTGCTACTTTTTTCAAACCGCGATTGCACAAATACCACCCGTTAATCTCGAAAACTAAGTATGCAGATATGCTTATATCCGTCTATATTAACACAATTTAATGCCCATAGGGCTGCACCAAAAACACTGTTGGCCTGTGTTATAAATTAAAAGCCAACGTGTCAGAGTGTAAGCTCTGAAACTTAAGTAAAATGAGCACAGCTCGGCAACAACAACAAGACGAACGTCGACTTTCGTCAATCAGAAACAACGCTTACTTTTGTATACGAGCTGATGAGTCAATAGTACCAAAGAAAACTGCAACATTGCAAGTGAACACAGCGAGAGCGCGCTCGCTCTCCCCTGCATTATTATGTGCAAGCGGCACAGCACCCAATGAGCCGTGGAGTGCCCAATGCCCGTCCCCCGACCCCTACGACCTTACAAGCAATATTACCACAACTACCAGCACAATGCCCGTATTTACCACTGTGACTTCGACACTACCCTGTAGTTCGCCGGGACTGGTCCCGAACTAGCGAAATCGCCATACACCGGGGGCTTGGGACTAACTCCCGCTCATACCACCCGCAATGTAAATTTCTATCCACTTTTACCACGGCATGTCTCTAGGCGGTGGTCATATGGCGAAGTTCTGCATTACCTTTCGCCCAAAAGGGACCGATAGGTGGTCCCATATTATACCCCTTTTCGCCACAAAGGGGCCACCTATCGGACCATCTATCGGACCACCTATCGGTCCCTTTTGTGGCGAAAAGGGGTATTAAATGGGACCACCCTATCGGTCCCTTTTTTGTGGCGAAAAGGGGTATGAAATGGGGTTGGTGTTTTCAATACCAAAAAAGCTGAATGCTATGAAACTTCCCAAGAAAAAATACTTTTTGTTAAATTAATTTATTGTATTATAAGTAGACAATTTTTCTATTTTTTTAATTTATATTTATTGAACAAATTCCTCTGCTGACACGTTTTTGTTGAGTTCCTCATTGTTGTTATTATTTGATTTGGATTTATTTTTAAAAAATCGTTTCTTTTGCAATTGAATCGCCTTGGGAATCAATATTTCTTCATTACCAGATTCTGAAACAATATCTAAAAAGAAATAAGATTTTAGTGTTTTAAAATAAAATGAGAACAGAAAATAACTTCGGCAAGCCAAAGTTTTAATACCCTTGCAGCTTTCAGGAATAAAATTGTGACTAGAAAAGCATAAATATAAAATAAGAATAACCAACAGTTAAATGTAGACTTATTTCACGCTTTTGAAACTTGAACCGACAGACAGACGGACATGGTTAAATGGATTTACTTTATAGGTTTGAAAAGGTCTCCATTACTGCGTAACAAACTTCTGGACTAAATTATAATTCCCTCTGCATGGGTTTAAATATATATTTTTAGATTTTGTTATACAAGCCTGTTTACATCAAACCATGTTTTAAGATTTTGTTATAAAAGCCTGTTTACATCAAACCATGTTTTAAAAGTGAAAAGCAGAAAAAGACAGAAAGAAATAGGATTAAAGACAGATGGCATTCTAAGTAAATAGATTGAAATTGAATCAAGAAACTAAGTGTATTATAAAAAATACAGTTATAAAAATAACCTACCGTGAAGTGCACCATAGAAATGTGTAGAGGAGTTTACGGCTTTTTTTCCAGAAAAGCCTTTTTAAATCCCACAACAAACTCATCCGTGAGAACCCTCCGCAAGTTTTTTAAACCCCCTTCTGGCAGCAACAACGATCTCATGGCTTTTATCTAAAAAGGAAGAAAATTTCACTAAAATATTTATATCAAAGAAAAAAGACTTACGTAGGAGTCCTTTGCACCACTATTTCTCCTTCTCCTCTTTAAGAAATCGACGAATGTGCCTGTTGCTGTTCATGGCTAAATATCACACATTATTAGGTATTTCACTTGCACAACTCATGGTGTTACTCACCTGTTGACAACACCTCAGATCACAACAAAATATAACACTTTAAATGTACAATAAGACAAATTAAATACAATGTTTACAAAATTTGGCGCAAACGTTGGGTTAGTGATGGTAGCGGGGTTGGGTAGTTATGGCAATCCGTTACGATTAATATTTATAATAATATTTATTTTATTATATTAATTAACTTTTTTAATTTGTTTTTTATATAAACAAAATAAAGTTGTATTCGTTATTAAAATCATTATAAACTTGTCAAAAATTTCATTTTACAATTTTTTTAACTCATATAGAAGTGTTCACATAGAAGTGTTCACTCTCCGATAACTCTTTTGCTCTTGTAAAAAATACACACGCCACCTATTGACCCTTAAGGGACCACTGGGTGGTCGATCCCTTTTCTACCCCGAAAGTGCCACCGGCCCCCTTGAGAACTACAGGGTAACAACAACAACCAACACAACAACAACTACATCTACTGCAGTCACTCAGCGCCCGGCATCGTCAGTTCTGACCGGCAAGCTCCCCTTCCCCCAACAAAAACCTACGAAAAATGCTAACGGAACGTTAATACAAACTGGAATCGATCGCTATGTGCAAATAAAAAAAAATTAAGCCCGCAATCTTCTAAAAAAACCAATGCATCAAAAGTATTAAAATCAAATACTATCACTGTCCCGAAAAATACGCTGACCAATAATAGATTTTCGATTCTTAGTGACACAGACGAAGATAATGCTGCCACTCAAACAACCACTGTTAAGAAACCAAGGCCACCACCCATATATGTTCGTCAAGGAAATTGTGCTGAGCTAGTCAAAAAAATAATTGACCTAATTGGAGCTAACAAGTTCTATGTCACTTCTATAAAAAGAGGTAACATAAATGAAACCAAAATTCAGGCAAACGATGAACAAGATTATCGATCAGTGGCCAAATACCTAGATGAGGGAAAAACCAATTACTATACCTATCAACTCAAAAGTAGCAAAGGCCTACAAGTAGTTATCAAAGGAATTGAATCAACAGTTCCAACCATTGAAATAATAGATGGGCTTAAAGAAAAGGGTTTTAATGCCAAAACGGCTATAAACATAATAAACAGAAACAAAATTCCCCAGCCAATGTTCAAGATAGAACTGACACCGGAAAATATGCCTTTAAATAAAAATGAAGTTCACCCAATCTACAAGCTTCAATATCTATTGCACCGCAGAATCACGGTTGTTGAACCCCATAAACGGAATGGACCCATCCAATGTACGAACTGTCAAGAATATGATCATACGAGAACATACTGCAAACTTCGCGCAGTCTGCGTTGTCTGCGGGGATGCACATTTAACTATGGACTGCCCTCTAAATAAGGAGAGCCAATCTGCCAAAAAATGTAGCAACTGTGGGGAAAACCACACGGCCAACTACAGAGGTTGCCGTATTTATAAGGAGATGAAAAACCGCCTAACCCAAAAAATAACTGCAGCTAGAAACCCAGCCATCCGCCAAAATCTTCCATACATACCATCAACAACGACACCGGGAGTCTCTTTTGCTCAGGCGCTGAGCTACAACAACGGGTCAAACACATCCCAATTACCTAGTGGTATAGAATTAACGCTGGCAACTATAACAAAAACAATGGGAGCAATGCAGCAAACTCTGCAGGAGCTTGTGCGCACTCAAAATCTCCTCCTGGAGTTTCTAGTCAAACAAAAATCTTAGATGATTACTCTTAAAATATCTTTCTGGAATGCGAATGGCATTTCGCAGCACAAATACGAGCTTATGCAGTTCCTTGATCAATATGACATTGACGCCATGCTCATATCAGAGACTCACTTAACAAATA